AACAATGTGGGGACATGATCCGGGTTTTCAAAACTCTTTCAGGCTACTATAGCCCATTACTTAAGCTTTCATTATTTATTATTTTATCTAAACGAAAGGAGGGAATTGCAGGGACATTCAACAACATTAAACATTTTTCTGAAAACTACATGCCCATCTTGGGAAATTGCTCATCTTCAAGAGCAGGCCCCTAAACCTGCCTATTGAAGCTACCAAGAAATAAAACCAAAATATTTTGACTTTGAGAGTTCTGGCTCATGTCGGATTTCGAGATGACCCCAAACAGTTTTATCGTGATTTTCAGATTCTAACAGTACCATCACAATACATTTATGACTGCCTACTGTACATGCACCGTAATTTGCATAATTTCGCGGCTCTGGGTGAAACACACCATCATGATACCAGACATCGCGACAATATTAGGATTAATTTTCTCAGACTAGGAACATCAAGGAATGCAACACTTTATTTTGTTCCTGTCTTTTATAATAGGTTGCCTGTCTCTGTAAGAGAGTTGACAGCTCAGCGATTCAAGTCTGTAGTTAAGAAATATTTGTTAGGCCAGATTTTTTATCATTATAGGGAATTTCTGGATAGGGATGTTGCTGCTGACTTTGATCTACTGTTGTGACACTGTGTTTTATTTAATTGTTTAATTGATAAATTAGTATCTATGATAAATGACAAATGTAAAAATTTATAAATTTGTATACATGATTATTTAATAAATTGAAATTGAAATAAATTGAAAATTGAAATTAGTTTACAGTATCTTTCGAGCAGACAGGCCGCATCAGAGAGGAGGGGGATCGTGTATACTTGTTAAGAATGTAGTAAATGGATATAACCTTAGTTGTGCACTTTCCCAGAACTATCCCATAGATGCACCAGTTGATGCAATATGGCTAGACCTAAAGATAGAAAAAATCAAATTTCTCATTGCATGCATATATAGGCCAGGAAACACTACAACAGAACAAATTAATGCACAATTGATTAACCAGTTGGGTAAGGCATTTGCATGCAAAAACCCAACCATTATACTAGGTGATTTCAACTACCCCAACATAAACTGGGATACCCTGGGGGTAATACCGGCTGACAAGAGGGCACAGGATTTTATGGATATGTATAATCAAAGTAACATATACCAATTAATAAGCTTCCCAACTCGATTTAGGAATAGTCAAAGCTCCCTTTTGGACTTGTTTTTGAGCAGCGATAAAAAAAGTATTTTTGACATTCGATCTGAGCCACCAGTTGGGCAAAGTGACCATGTTGTTATTACAGCGAGAGCCCAGATAAAATTACCGCCGAAACAAACCCATAAGATTCAAAATAGCTATTTATACAATAAGTTACGAAATGAGCGTCTTTTAGGCACGCGACGTGAAAATTGTCCCCCACACGTCGAGTGACTAAAAGACATCGTTTCGTAACGTATTGTATACAAGATTTTTTCTACTGGCATTTTATAATAAAAAAACACAATTTTATTTCATGTGAATAAGTCGATTACACGATTTCTTTTCAAAATTCGACATCAATAATTAAAATCCTAGAAAGTAGGTAATAACACAAACTTCTGTTTTGAGTAACCCAAACGTTCAATTCAGTAATTCCATTTTCAATATTCATAATAAATACAAAACAAAATTCAAATATGTGTTTAGTGTGTTTTTTATTTCTGAATAATGAATGACACTTTTAGGCACTAGTGCTTAAAAATTACTTTTACGCACTCATAAGTCACTTTTACGCATTCAAAAGTCACTTTTACGCACTGAGTGCCTAAAAGTAACTTTCACGCACTCAGTGCCTAAAAGAATGTCGTTTCAAAACTGAAATGACAATCGAAAAGTTGCTATTATGAAACGTCAGTAGAAAATAGCTATTTATACAATAAGTTACGAAATGAGCGTCTTTTAGGCACGCGATGTGAAAATTGTCCAACAAGGCAAAGCCGAGTTGGACAACACGTCGAGTGACTAAAAGACATCGTTTCGTAACGTATTGTATACAAGATTTTTTCTACTGGCATTTTATAATAAAAAAATACAATTTTATTTCATGTGAATAAGTCGATTACACCCAAAATCTTTGTTACCTGCTTTTACTTGCCACCTGACACTTTTCATGCGATTTTCTTTTGAAAATTCGACATCAATAATTAAAATCCTAGAAAGTAGGTAATAACACAAAGTTCTGTTTTGAGTAACCCAAACGTTCAATTCAGTAATTCCATTTTCAATATTCATAATAAATACAAAACAAAATTCAAATATGTGTTTAGTGTGTTTTTTATTTCTGAATAATGAATGACACTTTTAGGCACTAGTGCTTAAAAATTACTTTTACGCACTCATAAGTCACTTTTACGCATTCAAAAGTCACTTTTACGCACTGAGTGCCTAAAAGTAACTTTCACGCACTCAGTGCCTAAAAGAATGTCGTTTCAAAACTGAAATGACAATCGAAAAGTTGCTATTATGAAACGTCAGTAGAAAAAAGAAATTTTCGCACTGCAAAATATGAGCAAATAAATGGTAATATCAGACAACAGCAGGTTAATGCAGAACAATCAAAATTTGACAACTATCAAAGAATTATTAATGACGCTATAGAAGGTATATTCCATTAAGATCAATAAAAGTGAACCAGCAAAAGCCATGGATTACTGCAGCACATTTCAAGGAAATTGATAACAAGCGACAACTATGGGACCGATACAGGCAGAATAAAACGCCAGAAAACTATCAGCTTTACAGAAATCAAAACAACACTCTGAAACAAAAACTATTTGATGCTAGAAAAACATATGAACATAACTTAGCAGCCTCAAAGTCACCTAAGCAGTTGTACAAATACATAAGTAGAGCCTTAAACTCTAAAGTGTCTACAATAACGCTCAAAGATCCAACCAGTCACGAAATTATGGATAACAAAACCATGTCGGAAAAATTTGCATACCAATTTGATAAATCATTCTCTCAACCACAAAACTACACCCCTCCACCACAGCCAGCAAGTATCAGAAACCAGAACTCAATCACCAACATAGTCTTCACTGAAGAGAAGGTAAAAGAGACCCATACGAAAATGAAAAAAGAATCAAGTCCTGGTACAGATGGAATTCCTACAATCTTCCTCCAGAACTGCAGTGAAACAATTAGTTCGTACTTGGCAGAAGTGATGCAAGAGTGTATACATCTGGGAAGGATCCCGGAGCAATGGAAACTGTCAATAGTAACACCGCTATTTAAAAAAGGAGACCGACACAAACCAGAAAATTATCGTCCCATAAGCCTCAACTGTAATCCATTGAAATGCATGGAAAAAATTATTGTGAAAGAATTAACATCATTTTTCACAGAAAACAATTTGATACCTCCATCACAGCATGGATTTCTTCCAAAACGGTCCACTACAACAAACCTAATCGAATGCCTGGATGATTGGACAGAAAACCATGACAACTCCCAACCAACTGACATTATCTATTTGGATTATGAAAAAGCATTCGATAAAGTTCCTCAGAATTATTTGCTTATCAAGCTTGAACACTATGGTGTGCGAGGACAAATACTGTCATTGATAGCAGACTCCCTATACAAAAGACATTATCAAGTGAGAGTGAATGGCGAAATGTCTAAGCAACATCCAGTCAGCAGCGGAGTTATTCAGGGATCAGTAATAGGGCCTTTGCTTTTTACGGCATATCTCTTCGATCTTGTCGACCTGATTGAGACGAAAATGAAAAATTTTGCTGATGATGGTAAAATATATGCAAACCCCTGTCTTAACGCAATTCAGCTCAAGAGAGATCTTCAAAGAATCGAGGAATGGTCCAGTACCTGGGGGATGAAACTAAACGAATCTAAATGCACAGTATTAAGAATTGGTCCAAACAACCCAAACGAACAATACACATTGAATAACACAGTTTTGTCAGTAGTGGATGAGCAAAATGACCTGGGTGTTATCGTGACTGCAAATTTAAAATGGGAAAACCACATTCTGAAAATAGCCAAAAAGACCAACTCGTTCGTCTACCTTGTAAAACAGGCATTCAAAGACCACACAATGGAAATGATTTCAATACTATATAAAAGCTATATTAGGCCAAAACTTGAGTACGCTTACACAGTATGGAACCCATATTACGTAAAAGATATTGAGATCCTGGAAAAAATACAAAGAAGAGTCACGAAGATACCCAATGAACTGAAAAATTTACCATACCCAGAAAGACTGGAAAGACTTCAATTAACAACGCTAAGGGAGCGAAGACATAGAGGAGACCTTATCGAAACGTATAAAATAATTAGTGGACACTATCAGTGCGAAATCAAGAACATCTTTCGTCTCAACCAGAATCCACAGCTTCGAGGACATTCTATGAAAATAGACAAGGAAAGGGCTGCTAAACTCCAAAGGAAGAATTTTCTGACCAATCGTGTGGTATATTCATGGAATGCACTCACAGAGGAAACGGTTACTGCAGCAAACGTTAATATATTTAAAAATCGTTTAGACAAAGAATTAAGACAGAGTGCAGCAAGAATGATCCATTATGGCGCATAATTAAAGGAAAATGTAAACAATAACAAATTTTAAAGAGACAATAGCTTCATCGGTACACCGCTTGCTATTGGATAATAACATTATTACATTATTACATACAACATCAAAACCAAGCATACAACCAGCTGATTTATTTTTTAGTTGTTTAAGGCCGGTTATTCTAAAACTACTTTGGCAGTTAACTTAAAGTTAACTTCTGGAACTACGAGAAGTAACATCATTTTAGAAGTTAACTTTTAGTTATTTTCAAACTAGTTTTATAATACCCGCCATTAGTCTCAAGTTGTAAGTAGTATAGTTTAACACTGAGGAAATAGGGGTCTTTTGTTCTAAGATTGTTCATTTGCTAAGGAGAACAAATGCCAAGGGGCTACTTTTATATAATAATTTAACGCCAAAATAAAGATACTTACTTTAAAATACTCAACACCTTGTACTATCCCATCATTTTTCCCTTTAGCATCATCAAGAATAATTCCAACCCATTTTCCAGCAGCAAAATTCGTTTTCCCAATGAACGCTATCACACCTTGAATGTTTTTCGCACTGATTTCGACCCTTTGCCCGATTTTTATCAAATCGCCCATTTCGGAAAAGTAATGTCGTTGTTAGACTTTGAAAATGTAAAATTTTTGTTTATGGAAATGGCAAATTCAACACAAAATAATGGAAATTGGAAAAGCAAATTGAGAAATTTCCATTTTCCTCTTCACATTTCATTTATTATGATGAACTGACATTAGTTTAGTTTGAAGGTTGACATTAAACATTGAACCGATTGTTAAACGTCAATGTCAATATGGGCACTTTCCTTTCACCGATAAATTGAACGGTTAAATAAACCGGTAGCTGTCAAATAATTCCGGTAAAAGTTGGGTGTAAAGGCCCATCCTCAATCTGGTAGCGAAGTGGCACTTCGGCACGCATGCTAGGACCATGTTGTTTTACGTTGGTATCCTCAATTCAATTTCGTGCTAGCATGCACGCCGACTCCGAAGTGCAAAGTGCAAGCTTGCAAGTTGCAAGATTTTTTGATGAGTGACAACTTGTGTCATGCGCAGTACATTTACCGTACGTTCCGTTCGGTATATTTGGATCTGAGTTCTCCGAACATGAATTTACCATTCGTTTATTCAAAAAGTGTACTCGGTGCAGGCTCATTCACGTTCGTTTACTGAAATTTCTAGCCCTCTGATACAGCGTATAAAGTCCGACAAATACCATTTTAAAGTCACGTGATATTGGTGGCAAAAAAACGTATGTCCATTGATTATGGGTCTGTTCCCACAGGAGTCTTTGACAGTTTGCAAACTGTCAGTAAGCATCGCCCATACATGTTTTCAATGTTGTCGTTCCAAGATTAATCTGTAAATCAGCTGAGCGATTGTTTCTGACAGTTTGCAAACTGTCAAAGACTCCTGTGGGAACAGACCTCGATATCACCTACAAAAAGCTACTGGTGGTTAATTATCATTGAATTTTAAGATATGTTTCCACTAGCATTTCACAAACGCGTTTCTGAAGTAGTATTGACCAATCAGATGGGAATTTTAATACTTGCAATTGCTGTGAGACTCACTTTTGTCGCATCTGCTGTCCTGTCCATTGTAATACATTCTGAAGTTGAATTGGGTACCCGTTTTCTATTTGCTTCTTTTCGAGTTGGAAAAAGGTTAATATAGTCAAAATGATTAGCTGTGTTTGTTCGTTGTATCATAATCGACAAACTTATTGATGACAGTGACGGATTCTATTTCAGGTAAGAATATTATGAACAATTAGACACCAATTTTTTTGTCAATTTTACTATCACCGCTGTTGATGTATTCAACAAGGATAGAGAAAAATCACGTGACTTTAAAATGGTATTTGTTGGACTATACCTGCTTTGTGCGCTCGCTGGTCACGTGATTATGGCTACGCTCTGCACGCTCTGCTCTTTGAACAAAATACCGAACGCAAGGTAAATTATCTACCATTACATAAACTGAAAGCAATTGATGTACGTCAAAAAAAATGTGTCAAAAAATCTCCAACCGAAAAAAACCGACAAAATTCCCGGTGGATCCGGTGCCTCACCGGTTTCAAACAGCTGATCATTCCGGTCAATTTTAGAACAGACGGTTCAACCGGTAAAAAGTCGGTACATTTTGGAACGGTTTGGTGAGTAAACTATTAAACCGGTATCGCGCCGGTTCAGAAACCGGTGAATTTTGAAAAGTGCCCGATGTCGGGTCGAAGTCGAAGCAAGGAGAATACACACTCGGATTGCTTATCAGCCTTGTTTTTGGTAATCGCCGCCATATTGGTGTCACCATTTCCGACGTCATAACTAAGTCGTCACCTGTCAAGAATCGTAAACTCTACAGGATTGCTCAATCGGCTAAATTTGTTCACAATTGCTGTGACGTCACGTGCATCCCGGATTTTCAAGATGGCCGCTGATACGAATGATGTTCAGTTTGTGCCATAGGTTTGTGCTGACAATTATTTTATCGTAAATTCGGATTTATCAAGTGTTATAAGTGTAGTAATTTAAAGTTTCATTTAATGTGTGTAAGCATAAAAGACTCGTGGTTAAAAATAGTCGCGAAAACCCCAAGCATTTTCTGGTTTTAGTGGTTTTATAATACTGGATTTGTTGTATCAGGACATCGCTTTCTTTTATTCGTGTGTATTGCTAGTTTTCTACTGTTAGTATGTCCTAGTAAAGCATTTGTATTGTTTTTTTTTTGTAAATCAAATATCTACTTAGTTGTCAGTTTCCTTCGCATGTAATAGACCTATCTATTTTACCAGACAAAGAGGTAATAATACGAAAACTTCATTAAATAAAAAAAGACACAGAACGCTCATTGCGCAAGACGAGGCAAAACGTACCAAATTATGTTAGACTTACGTATAGCGATCCGTCCTTCTTATTTGCACAGAATAAAAAGGAAAGGAGAAACGCCGCGTGTTGTGCAACGTATTTGTCAATGAAAATGTCAAACAACTTCTGAATGACAGTTGTCAAGTTAAATATCAACTTTAGATTTATTCTTGTCAGACCACGTGCAATGAACAAGGATAAAGAGATGCCCAGCGTGCAAAACGATCACCTCACACATGTATTAGCTAGCCAATGAAAAGACATTGCCTCGTGTTGCGCGCGCATACCAGGTAAAAATAGATAGGTCTATTACAAAAAGTAAAAATGATTGTTTCTGAAGAGTGAATAAATAAATATGTAGATAAATTCCTTTACTGGCGCGTTTACTATGTAAACGCATGGAAAATATGGGAAATTTGCAGTGTTTTTCTGGATTCTGATTATAAAAATCTAATTTATTAGGTATCACTATTTGGCTTTGTGAGATAAGTTTACTTTGAATATCCATATTAAAGTTCTAGTAGGTACCTATTAAACTATATGTATTGAATAATAATTAAGTAGGTAGTAGGTTTAGACAGTGAAAAATAAAACACACAATTTTTTTTTTTTTTGAAAACTCTTTATTAAGTATTGTGTAAAATCTGTTTTTTTTTTTTAAAGATAATTCCCCAAGTCAAAAATTTAGTAACTATGTTGGCAACACAAGCCTTTTCTACATAAAAAATTTGAAAGCATTGACAATTTTACATTGTATTGCCAACATAATGTCATTTTGACTTTTATCTTTAAAAAAAAACACACTTTACAATAAATTTACATAAATATTTATACATATTTTAGACTCTCTAAACAGTGCTTAAATAGCGCTGGCCTCGAGCGATGCACAAGTTTCGGCAAAGTAAAGTTGCTCACAATAGGGACCGGTCACAAATTGAAATTCGCGACCCCTAGTGAGAGAAATCAAAAGTTTTTGTATTAATAGTTTGTCAAATTTTCACTAGAATTTCGAAAAATGGAGCTGGAAATACATTTTCGCTTCCAAAATATAAAATTTAATCACCACGAAGCTGCATACAAAAAAGGTGTGGCTCTAGTGAAAGCTAAACATGTATTGCAAGTAGTTGAACGAGATTTTGGAGGGGACTTATCCATTTTGAAAGGGCATGTTATGCGCCAAACCTCCATAAATAGCTCTCCTTATGCTGTTGAGCTAGGTATAACAATAAAATAGACGCTACAAATCCTTGACTGTCTTTCTGGCTCCCACATTTTACTATTTTTTGAATTGGATCTTAAAACGATAAAGAGTAACGCTTTTTTTTTCGCCAAGATAGATTTTGACATCCTCAACTTTGAAACATAAACAAAACCGCTTTTTGGTCGGAACATGCCATTTGCACTGATAGCAATTTCCATTTGTCGAACCAGTGTAATTTTTTTTTATCCTTATCCTTACATGTTACATGCTTTTAGAAAAAGATGCGGATAAACTTACTGCGCACTGACTGACAAATGGAAATCACCATGATGTCAACCTGCAGGGACTCCTCATTTTGCGACCAATCAGGGCCAAGAGGTTTACGTTTCAAAGTTGACAATGTCAAAATCTATTTTATGAAAAAATAGACAATGAATCAATACGAAAACTCAGTGTATAGTTCCTGTGTCTTTCCTGATCATGGGACCGACTAGGAAAACTGTAGAAGTGAACATTTCCACTTGTGTTGGCATAATTATTGCCACAGTTAACAACACAATAATTTGTGAAACTGTTCCTGGGTGAAGGCATGACAAGTAGTGGGTATGCACAATAGCCTGAATAAAAGATAATAAAAAGCGTTTGGCAAATAATAATTACAAGAAAAAAAGTGAAATTAAATACCTACAATTGTTCCGTGTAAACAACCATACCTTTATAATGAAAAATATTTCGCTTTGAAATCGTTTTTAATAACAAAAATTGCTTTTGTGTAAATGGAATCAAGTGAGGAATCAAGCACTTGTCATAATACAAGAACTTACATTGCTGTTGAAAGAGGGCGCTACTGTAGTTTATGGACGGACTCTATACTAGAAATAATATTATTGAATGTCTAAATGACGTTTTAACTTACCTGCAAATAATCTAAAACTACGTAATTATGCTTTTCGAAGAATCAGGAAGGCAGTTAGCATTTCGAAGCATCAACTATCGGATTACTCATTCCTATACTATATTTGATCTTGTAAAAACTTGGTAGGTATATAAAATAAAATTTTTCTGAGATTGACAAGAAATGTCAGCATTTTTGACCGGTTGACAGGTCGCAAAACTCAATATTCTGGTATAGTCTATCGTTTCTCAAATGAGACAAGGCAAAAATTGGGGTCTCCTCAAATTATCGTATTGCCCGTTAAAATTATTATACTATTATTAGGAAAAATATATTGAGCGTGCCCGTATACATTGGATGCGAATCCACTTGCAAACAACGCATCTTATTGGTTGTTTTATACAGTCAACGTTGACTCCAGGAATATCTTATGGTTAGAATTTTTAGCGGCGTATTTCTTTGAAAAGGCGGCTTCTTTGGCGGCATATTTCTTTGTAGCGGCCGCCGTTTGCGAATTAGTTTCGTCTGGAAAGACAGTGCAGTAGATAGTTTTTATACATTTGATTCCTATTTGAGTTGTATCGTGCCTCATGTTTTATTTTATATAAAAATGTTTTAATAAATTTCCCTTACTCCGGCGGTGCTTCATAAAGAAAACGCCGACGGACAAAGGAATATTATTTTTTTCACTGTCTCATTTGACTATCGATAGACTATATTTCAATTATGTTTCAATATTTGCTAAGGAATCAATAAATAACA